TATTTAAAAAATTAATAAAAACATAAACTTTTAACTAAATATAATCTATCTCTTTATTAATCTAATCTAAAATAGTTGTAGTTTACGAAATATAAATAAATTAACATTTCATTAAGGAGAAATTAATAGTTTTAGTTGATATACAGAATGTAATTAATATTAAATTCATTTTATAACACTTCTGTATTTTAGTTCTTTTTTTAAAATAATAGAATTTACATCTAGATATTATAAAAATGATAATAATAGTTTAAATAAAAGAAAGAATTGTAAACCATATTTAATAATTTTATTATCTTGATATTTCTTAGGAATCATTAATTACTAATAATGATAAAAAAGGATAGAGATAAATTTTTATATAGAGAATTTATTTTCATAAACAATCTTAAAAATATTAGATTTTATATTAATTATTATCACTTTTTTGTTTGTTCTTCAGATCCTGATAAAAAATACTTTGAAAGTGAATCAAATTATGATGTCATCTAATATTAATATATAACCATACTTAATCAAATAGTTGATTTATTTTATCAAATGTTTTATTTATGTTTTAAACATAAACATCATCCTTAAATAGGGCTAATTATTCTTGACTTATTTCATAATCTTAAACTTTATATGTTTGTTGTATATCTGTTTGATATAATTGTGTTGTTTGATTTAGTTGATTTGTTTGATATAATTGTGTTGTTTGTAATAATTAAGAATTTTTGTTTTATCTCTTTGCTGAACAGACCCCCATTACTTTTTATTTTATATTTAATATTGAATATTATTATCTAAAATATTAATATTAATAATGCATGCAATGCATTTTTCATGTTTAAAATTTTTATATATGTTTTTTATTTATATTTCTCCTTTATTAATTATATTTAATGTTTTTTTTCTAGTTTGGAATTTTCGATTTCTAAGATACTTTTATTAATATTCCTTCCATTAAATATATTATAAAATATTAAGGAACTATTTAAATCAATTAATATAGATATAAATTCAAAATTTTTATTAATAATTTTCTAATCTTATTAATAAAATATAAATATTAGTAGGAGAAGTTATTGACAAGAAATTCATTTTTAAAATTTAGACTAATTTTACTTTTTTATTCGTTTTTGCAAGCATTGCAAAAATTTATATTATTATTCTTTATATTTAAAAAGTTTACTTATAATTCTTTCAAATTAACAGGATTATTTTCATAATAATCTTTCTATAAAGAAATTTTCTTCAAAAATGTAACAAATTCTCCTAATAATTTACTGTTTCAATAGGATCAAAAGTTTAAATAAATATAAATTGTTAGAAATTTTTCAAAAAGAAAATGATAAAATTAGACAATATATAAAGAATAGTTAATTAAATAAAGAGTTAATCGATTAATGAAGTTTAGATGAATAAGGAAATTTAACAATAAAGATGTAAAAATGGAATAAAGTTTAAATTTGAAGGCAAAGTAAGTATGGAGAAATTCAAATAATATTGAGATAAAGGAAGAAGAATAATGTTAGATTAAAAAAAAGATTTTGTAAAAGATTATTGTATGTATTAGTAATTTGGTAATTAAAAAGGAAGTAATGATTAATAAGATGGATAAGAAAGAGATTCTTAGCATGATTAATAAATTTATGAATAATTTATAATATATCAATTATAAAAATTTGAGAATAATAAATGAGAATATATCATCATATATTTTAATAATAAAATGATACATAAAAATAATTATAAATGAATTGTTGTATTGATCATCCTTAAAAAGAATATAGTTTGATATGTATAGCTTAACATTATTGCCAAAGAAAGTTATGTTAAGAATGCTAACATGATCATGGTATTGATTCTAAATAGTTGGTTTCAATTAATAAATTTCAAAATAAATTAAAGAAGAGAATGGAGAAATTTAACTTAAATACTTAGATTAATTATAATAATTATAATGTTCTTCATTAGAATTTGAAATCATTGATTGTTTAAACAGAAGAGATGATAAAGAATATGTGTTAAAATATTACATAATCAATTAATAATATTTTCAAAATTTTAGAATAAGAAGATTAATAATATCATATTCTTTTAAATTCTTTTGATAATCTGTTAGAATTATCATATATAGATTTAAATAAATTAGTAGAAATATTAAATGATAAGACATTAGAAAAATGGAATGATTAGAAAGAATAGAATATAAATTAATTAAGAAAAGCTTAATTATGGTTATAAATTGAATTAGAGAGTTTTTTAAAAAGATTTAATTAAGATTTAATGAAGGATATAGAGTCATTAATAAAGTATAATTATATTATTATAAAATTAGAGTAGAGAAAAAAGTAGAATCAATAGAAGAATACTATTGGTAAGAAGGTATAATAGAACATGAATTTTGGGAATACTCAAACAATTATGGTGATAAAATACCAGTAAAATAGAAATTTACAATAACGAAAACAAAAGATAAAGAAATCATATATACATATCCAGGAATAAACTAAAGAATGTTAATATTTATAATATTTAAGTGATTAAATAAAAGAATTATGTCTGAAGAAACCTGAAATATTACATAATATAGATTAAATAAGACATCTTTAATGGATAGGTGAGTATGGAAACAATAATAAAAAAGTTGGAAAATGGATAGCTATATGGAAAGGGTTATAATTATTTGGTGTGGGAGGATTATATTCAGATGATGGTAAAAAGTAAGGTAGATGGAAAGAATTAATTCCTAACTTTTGTGAGTAATAATTAAACTATTTTAGTGAAGCTTAAATTTTTGAATCAGGAGAATATTTAAATGATGAGAGAAATGGAATTTGGAAGTATATATATTCATCAACAGAAATGTATGTGTATATTATATTTTAATATAGTGGTGGTGGTTTGTATCTTGAAAATGGAAAAAAGAATGGATTATGGATAGAGTTAAGTGATAATTTTTGGAAGTATATATTATTTTAATTCCTTAGCTTAAGTTAAGTTACTTATCAAGGTGAATATGAATAAGATAAAAAGTTTGGTAAATGGATTATTAAATATCATAATGAATTAATGTAATAAATTTCTAATCCATTATTAATAGAGGATAAGGTTAATTTCTAAATAATGGTTTAAAGAATGGTGATTGGGTAGAATAAGCCCCTAATTTCTATTGGTATCTATTCAAAATTAAATAAGTGATTGTTAAGTTACTTATAATGGAATCTATAAAAAAGGAAAGAAGATTGCCAAATGGGATATAAATTATAGATACAATTCTGATCAACCATTTGAATAGATGTAAATTATTTATTTATTTCTTTTAGAGGTGGAGGAATTTATGATGATCATAGTTTAAAAACTGGAAAGTGGATAGAATTAAGTGAAAAATTTTAGAAGTAATTATTATTAATATCAATTATTATCATATTAGTTAAAAATAATTAATTTATATTGGATACTATCATATTGGAAAGAAATATGGAAAATGGGAGGAAATGGAGAGATATAAATCTGCTATGAATAGAGGATTTTTTAAAATGTATTTTCAATTATAACTTTTAGTGGAGATCAAAAGTATGAGGATTCATGTTTCATATTTTGAATATCTTTATTATTTTACAATATATATTCATATCTTATCACATATTTATTATTTTAATCAAGATTATTTACTAAATTTTAATTAAATATCGCTCTATAAAATAACTTCATTATAAATCTATTTAATAATAAATATCAAGGTGATTAAAATAGATAATTAATACAAAATTAATTTGTTAATTATTTTATAAATTTTTTATACGATCAATTACATTAATTTAAAATAATATTTACCCAAATATTCTATAACAATTCGTTTTTTTCTTATGCAAACATTATCATTTATTTTGATTTCAATTCTTTACAATTGATACCATTACATAATTTTAATTGATAAAGAAACATTTATTAATTTTCAAAAAAAAAAATAGCAAATTTTTGTTCTGCTTTTTTCTTTAAACAGTTTAAAAAAAATAATCAAACTTATCGATAAAAGAATAGAAATATTTGTAAACTAACTGATTAAATTTAATTCTTTGACAAATAATGATATTGAAACATGTGATAAAATTATCAAAAATTGTGATAATGATATTATTTAGTAAAAAAAGGTAGGGAATAAATATAATTTATAAAAAATATTTATGAAAATTTAAAGAATTTATTAATTAGTGTTGATGTTTAACAATCATAAAGATATTTTAAGAAAGCATTAGACTTATACTTATCTGGGAAGAATTCTAAAATTATTATACAATCATAGTTTTCCTCTTCATTTCAAGTATAGTAATTTAGCCTTAATTGAGATATTTTTATTTTTTTGAAAATATTTTTTGATAAATTATGATTTACCAAAAAAGTTTATTTAAAATTTAATGTTCTGTAAACATTTAAAAGATCATACAGGAAAAGATCGTTAATTTATATGAATATGAGTATAATATAAATA